CAAACAGGACTAACCAATGCAAGGAGTTCAGTAAATTCCTCAATAAACAGAGGATTTGATTTAGGTGGACGATAAATAAACAGAATAAGAACAGGGGAGGCACAATTCACTCTGAAAGCAATACACTCAAATGATGTTACACTAGGAGTGGCAATTTCAGTTACAGATACATCCGATCTGAAAATAACAGCAAGGCCACCTCCTTTCCCAGTTAGCCGTGGTCTATCAATGTACATATAATCAGATGGAGTAGTCAAATTAAGATTTAGACCTATGATGTAATAGGGTGCACCTGCATAATAAATCACACATTTAATGATGTAAATTATGAATATACTGTACTTTCAACCACTGCGAATCTTCCTCTCTCTCCAGGCAGTGTCAGTGGATCCCTTTGAGCTGGTCCAGCAGTTGGGCAGTGCAAGTGTAACTGCTTCCATTGGGGGGTGCTGTGGAGACCAGCAATCATGCGGCCAGTAAATCCCAGCAAATTTCAAAGCAGTATTGTTTGATTTTGACTCGAAAAGAACACATTTGTTGTTAATTGTGACCGTGATTGTGTAAAAAATTTAATATTACTCTATACTGTAATATAGTATTAATTATAATTTTGTGAAAGGCAACACAAAGAAAAACAAGAAGAAATCAATCAATCTTGTAATGTTTTAAATACATCTGTAATCATACTGATAAATGTATAGCATTGACCAGTACCTCACACAGGTCTATATAGTTGCATAATCTAAAGCATTCACCTGCCAGGTTTAATCTTTATTGTAATCTTTATTGTATTGCCAAGTTAACTGAAAACACATATGGTTTATCAAACTTTTGTAATTAAATAACTTTTTCCATTGCTGTAATAAAAATGTTTTTTTTTAGCTGACTGCCTGGGTATTACTATCAGCTGTGATATACATTTAAATAAATAATTTAATGATACTGACATGCAAATCACCTTTTATAAAATGTAATCTAGCCCTATCCCTTAAGCTTTCACAACAAGACTTTTTTTTGAAAAAGAACAGAATTTGAGGAACTTATGGAAACTTCTACAGAATACAAGTAAAAAGTGATTTATTTATTCTCTCTAATTTACTGAACGTGAATTTTCACTGCCTGTGAAGATTGTAGGGTTGTGAAATATAATTCATGATCAGTCAACTTTCCTTTGGTCTGGACTGATCTCTGATCCCTGATAATGATCAAATGTTCACTATATGGAGATCTGACTCCACGATTATTTTTACATCCTTTCATAAGTTTTGCACGTCTTGCGTTTCTTAAAATCCCTTTAATCCCTGCCTTATCTGTGTAAGGTACATAGTTACAATATAAGTTTTTGTGTAGTCACAATAGTCGTGTAGTCGCTGAGTTTCTGGGTGTGTATTCAACTATGAGCACTTTTATGACTCGGGTTGATAAAGAACTTTTTTTCTAATTGTTACAGTTTATGGAGGTCATGTTAACCTTTTAACGTGCCTTTGTCATATTTTTTTTTTCAACATTTATTTATTTTATTTTAGTTTTTTAATGTAAAGATTTTGTGGTACTATTGTCCCAGACCCAAACATTCAATGTCAAACTATTAAAATCCAACATAAATATATGACTTCTTGCATGATATGTGGTGCAGTGGGCTATGCACATGCTTTGGACATGTGGGTCCCTGAGATGTTGGGGGGCCCAACCTGGGACATGTGATCCCACTTCCCATTCTTACCCCTACTTTCCTTTTATGCGTTTATTTATTTATTTATTTTAAGCAAAATAAGATATAGGATATGTATAGGATATAGTTACATCTTGTGAAACTATATTGTGTGATCCAAACTATTCAGGTGATGTAATTTAGGATACATTATGATATGTCGTCCATTTAAAAAAAAAAAAAAGTTTAAATTCCAGTGTCATTTGCACCATAGAGTGCTATCGGACACATTCAGACACAAGAATTCTCCTTAGATGCTTGTATCCGCTTTTGTACATTGTAAGTAGACCAATTAAAGAAACTAGTGAAAATTAATTTGATTTTCCAGAAGTCCACAGGACGTCCCTACGCTGTTGAAGAAACACTCTATAATCTTGTTAGTTATTTACTACATTTCGTGAGTGTATCTTGGCACTATTCAAAGATGCTGTCAGCAAAGAACCCTCTCAAAACACCAAAAACAGTCACGAGGAAACTTATGTTTGCGCTCATTTGCATTAAGTGCGACTGTTTACGGAGCTCATTGGCTGTCGCAAGCCCCGCCCCCCGCCCAACTGCGCCTCTGGATTGGCTGCTCCGTTCGCCTGTCACCGAGACATCAGCGGAGGCACGAGTTCGCGCTGCTCTCGCTGGAGTGTGATCAGTTTCAGCCGCGTAGCGGGACTCAGCGAGACCTGATGCACAAGTCAAGGCGACGCGCAGCGGAGATGAAGCCGGATTGGCTCTGATTTTTAAAAGCCCTTTCATTCAAGAGGCTGTCCATTATCAACATGGCAGAACCGTCGGTTCCAGTACCCCCTCAAAAAATGGCGTCACTTAGCCGGGTCCGAGCCTTTACTCTGATTTTGTTAACTGCAAGCAGTTATTTAATTACTCCCACAAGTGGCAAGGAAGGAGGGGGAGAGGAGACGGTCATCATCGGGCTGAGACTGGAGGACACGGACGACATTTCCTTCATGGACAGGGGCTATCTGCGGGTCAGCGAGAGGTCTCGGGTGAGATTGAGGGTGTACGGGCAAAGCATCAACAACGAGACGTGGTCCAAAATCGCCTTCACGGAGCACGAGAGGAGCCGAGTGATTGGCACCATCGACAGCTCCTCGGGGGACAACAAGAGTCAGGAGGACACGTCGGGCTTGCACCCCTGTGGCATCAGGACCTCGGATATCCTCATCCTGCCCAACATCATTCTAAACCGCAAGACGTCTGGCATCGTGGAGATCGAGGTCAAGCCTCTGCGAAAGACTGAGAGGCGCAAAGCGTACTACCTGTGCATCGCCACATCCACACCTGCTGCGGCGGGCGCGCACGACCCGTGGACGGAGCACACGTGGATCTATCACGATGGAGAGGACACCAAAGTGATCGTGGTGGAGGAGAAGAAGTTCCTGCTCCCTTTCTGGCTCCAGGTCATCTTCATTTCCATGTTGCTCTGCCTCTCGGGCATGTTCAGCGGCTTGAACTTGGGTCTGATGGCGCTGGATCCCATGGAGCTGCAGATCGTCCAGAACTGCGGGACTGAGAAGGAGAAGAACCACGCCAGGAAGATCGAGCCCGTCAGGAGCCAAGGAAACTACCTGCTTTGCTCGCTTCTTCTGGGGAATGTTCTGGTCAACACCACCTTGACCATTCTGTTGGATGACATTGCCGGTTCTGGATTGATAGCTGTAGTGATGTCCACCATTGGCATTGTCATATTTGGAGAGATTGTGCCTCAAGCGATATGTTCACGACACGGTCTTGCTGTGGGAGCGAATACAATCTTCTTGACCAAATTCTTCATGCTGCTCACTTTCCCCGCGTCCTATCCGGTAAGTAAACTGCTCGACTATCTCCTCGGACAGGAGATTGGTACGGTGTACAACCGAGAGAAGCTCTTGGAGATGTTGAGGGTCACGGATCCCTATAATGACTTGGTGAAAGAGGAGCTGAACATCATTCAGGGCGCACTGGAGCTCAGGACTAAGACCGTGGAAGATGTGATGACCCCGTTGCGCGATTGCTTCATGATCACCGGCGACGCCACGCTCGATTTCAACAGCATGAGCGAGATCATGGAGAGCGGCTATACGCGCATTCCGGTATTCGAGGGCGACAGGTCCAACATCGTGGACCAGCTGTTCGTGAAGGACCTTGCGTTTGTGGATCCCGACGACTGTACCCCGCTGAAGACGATAACGAAGTTCTACAGCCATCCCTTACATTTCGTCTTCAATGACACTAAACTCGACGCAATGCTGGAGGAGTTCAAGAAAGGTGAGAAAGCGAGAGAGAGCCTTTGATTTGCGCGGGCTGGCGATGTTGCTTGCATTGAATGTTTTCTTACTAGGCTATATTAGGCAACGTTGCATACAAGTTTATTGTTATTTTAAAACGAGACTAGTTATGCATCTTGTCATATTTCAAAGCAGTCGCGTGTCTTTTACGCACAGGCTATTACGCACGACTTAAAGAGTTAGATTTCATTCAGAGTTACAGACGCAACATTGCTTATTCTTGGGCAGAAAAAAAGTGAATTTTACCTGTTTTTGACCAATTTATGTCTATTCAGATATCTAAATATTGATTTGGCAGGCAACCTACGTAGTTCATTCGTTCAGTTCAGTAAGGAAAGGTACTCTTATTTAGATGTATTGATTAAAATAGTAATGCAATACTGTGAGCACATATTATATGTCCCCCAACGTCCCTTGTTATCCTTTAAAATCTTCTGTCTTCCCACTTTTTTTATCACCTATAATAATTTAAACCGCCTAAAATTGGGATAAAACGTAACGTTTAAATGTTGCCTTGACTTTTTGAGGAAAATCAGTGGTGCCAAACAAACATTCAGTAGCCTACAACTTGCAGTAATATATACATTGCACTTTTTAGACATTTTGAATTGAATTTCGAAATATTATGTCAAACTGATGGACATAATTTGTAGTAATTTGAAATAATGTGAACTTTAGACAGGGTCTAGTTTATCCATTTCAGAGTTTGCTAAATAGTTCCTCTCCATACCCATTGTTTGCTCCTTCTTGAGTGTTCCTACACTATTTAAAACTATTTGAAGCTTTATTTGACCCTCACTTGCTGCCCCCAGGACCCTGCAAACACATTATAATATGCCTGAGTGCAGGGAAGTGCTTGCACTATGTGCAGTATCTTGATGTGCCCTCACATAGCTAAGGGTTAATGCTTGCGGCAGAGGTGAGAATGTAGTGATGCAATGGAAATACACGGCAGGTGTACTCGCACTTGCTAAAGGATGACTCAGGGGGGTTATTAGGTGTAATACTTCATAATGCATGAAATAACATGCCACTTCAACAATCTGTATTTTGTGCTGCTCCCTTTCTGGCTCCAGGTCATCTTCATTTCCATGTTGCTCTGCCTCTCGGGCATGTTCAGCGGCTTGAACTTGGGTCTGATGGCGCTGGATCCCATGGAGCTGCAGATCGTCCAGAACTGCGGGACGGAGAAGGAGAAGAATTACGCCAGGAAGATCGAGCCCGTCAGGAGCCAAGGAAACTACCTGCTTTGCTCGCTTCTTCTGGGGAATGTTCTGGTCAACACCACCTTGACCATCCTGTTGGATGATATCGCCGGTTCTGGATTGATAGCTGTAGTGATGTCCACCATCGGCATCGTCATATTTGGAGAGATTGTGCCTCAAGCGATATGTTCACGACACGGTCTTGCTGTGGGAGCGAATACAATCTTCTTGACCAAATTCTTCATGCTGCTCACTTTCCCCGCGTCCTATCCGGTAAGTAAACTGCTCGACTATCTCCTCGGACAGGAGATTGGTACGGTGTACAACCGAGAGAAGCTCTTGGAGATGTTGAGGGTCACGGATCCCTATAATGACTTGGTGAAAGAGGAGTTGAACATCATTCAGGGCGCGCTGGAGCTCAGGACTAAGACCGTGGAAGATGTCATGACCCCGTTGCGCGATTGCTTCATGATCGCCGGCGACGCCACGCTCGATTTCAACACCATGAGCGAGATCATGGAGAGCGGCTACACGCGCATTCCGGTGTTCGAGGGCGACAGGTCCAACATCGTGGACCTGCTGTTCGTCAAGGACCTTGCGTTTGTGGATCCCGACGACTGCACCCCGCTGAAGACGATAACCAAGTTCTACAGCCATACCTTACATTTCGTCTTCAACGACACTAAACTCGACGCTATGCTGGAGGAGTTCAAGAAAGGTGAGAAAGCGAGAGAGAGCCTTTGATTTGCGCGGGCTGGCGATGTTGCTTGCATTGAATGTTTTCTTACTAGGCTATATTAGGCAACGTTGCATACAAGTTTATTGTTATTTTAAAACGAGACTAGTTATGCATCTTGTCATATTTCAAAGCAGTCGCGTGTCTTTTACGCACAGGCTATTACGCACGACTTAAAGAGTTAGATTTCATTCAGAGTTACAGACGCAACATTGCTTATTCTTGGGCAGAAAAAAAGTGAATTTTACCTGTTTTTGACCAATTTATGTCTATTCAGATATCTAAATATTGATTTGGCAGGCAACCTACGTAGTTCATTCGTTCAGTTCAGTAAGGAAAGGTACTCTTATTTAGATGTATTGATTAAAATAGTAATGCAATACTGTGAGCACATATTATATGTCCCCCAACGTCCCTTGTTATCCTTTAAAATCTTCTGTCTTCCCACTTTTTTTATCACCTATAATAATTTAAACCGCCTAAAATTGGGATAAAACGTAACGTTTAAATGTTGCCTTGACTTTTTGAGGAAAATCAGTGGTGCCAAACAAACATTCAGTAGCCTACAACTTGCAGTAATATATACATTGCACTTTTTAGACATTTTGAATTGAATTTCGAAATATTATGTCAAACTGATGGACATAATTTGTAGTAATTTGAAATAATGTGAACTTTAGACAGGGTCTAGTTTATCCATTTCAGAGTTTGCTAAATAGTTCCTCTCCATACCCATTGTTTGCTCCTTCTTGAGTGTTCCTACACTATTTAAAACTATTTGAAGCTTTATTTGACCCTCACTTGCTGCCCCCAGGACCCTGCAAACACATTATAATATGCCTGAGTGCAGGGAAGTGCTTGCACTATGTGCAGTATCTTGATGTGCCCTCACATAGCTAAGGGTTAATGCTTGCGGCAGAGGTGAGAATGTAGTGATGCAATGGAAATACACGGCAGGTGTACTCGCACTTGCTAAAGGATGACTCAGGGGGGTTATTAGGTGTAATACTTCATAATGCATGAAATAACATGCCACTTCAACAATCTGTATTTTGTGTTATGTAGGTAAAATCGTGAGAATCTTGATGCAAATTTTTCAAGTAGTTGAAAAAGAATTTAGAATTTTAAAAGGTCATTATTTTGGTGTAAAGAAAATAAGGGAAACTGCATTTAACAGCATGTTCCCCCAAACATAGAACATAAGAGTAGATTTGCAGTTTATGGTGCGAATCAGACTCTAATGTACAGACTAAACGTACATTATCATTTTGCATGAGAAGTAAGTTTAATGACAGCATGCCCACCTCTGCAAGTCTGATGTTTTATTTAAAGTTAAAGCTTACAATTAATGCCAAAATGAACTATATTAGTGTATTTGAACATATCATTAAAACATTTAATTTTAATATATATTTTTTTTTTGACTGTTCTGGGAAAAGTCATTCATGATTGCTACAAGAATACTTGGACATTATAAGAATTTTAGCAACCTTGGCTATGATTGTGACTCTTTTGTTCTTGGCTGCTCTCCAGAGGAAACTCACCATTGGCTGTTGGTATTCTAATGACTGATTAGGGGAGTGGGCACAAAGTTTCACATCAATCTGGCTGTGGTTCGAGCACTTTCTCAGTTCAAAGTGCTTTGTATTGTAAGTCAGTGTTAATTAATGCCTCTTGTGGAGCTGCACAGCCATCCAAAGTAGGAACAAAATACATCTCCTGCCAAGCACACCTTCACACTGTAATTTGTTTCTCTTTGATGTTGCTTTTTGAGTGGCAAAAGTTGCTTTTTTATTATTTCTGCTGCTGACTTACGTGATCACTTTGATACTCAATTCTGACAGAAGAAAATGGACTCAGTTGTCTTGTAATGGTCAACTAATTGGGCGTCCAAATGAGAAGGGCTTCTGACTGCAATCATGACCTTGAAGGTCAGCCTTAAAATTCCTGGAGCTACAGACTAGTTCCTGTATGATTGAAATAATTAGCGTGTCATAAAGGGACCCCTGCCAAACAGCAGTTTTGGGTTTAATGAGAATGGCATTGTTCATCATCTGGGCTTAACCCAAAGTGGTGTAGTTCAGGAGGCATTTGTTGCTGCAAAGATTCTTACATGTTGAGTTGAGTGTGTATTTTTTTCTCTCGTAGTGTGCTAGTACATGCTGTTTATTTGTAGGAATATTTCCTATGATAAACAGAGGTGTTTTTTTTTTATTTGCGGGAAATTGGGATAACATATTTAAATAAATTAAAGGCTATAATGTTGGCCTGCTGGCCCAGGATCAATGTGAGACAGTTAAAAAAAAAAAAAGTTCCCTTTTGGGCCAGTGCTGCGATTAAAAACATTAATATTTCTACCAATTATAAAAATGCCTTGCTTAAAATAAAAAAAATAAAAATATTTTGGGGTGATGCCAGTGAGTTGACAGGGCAAATAAAACTATTGGCTCAACTAGCCAACCTAAAAAAAAACAAGCCCAGTCTCTCAGCAATTCATACATATTTGATGAGGGGGCTAATTTGTACGACCTCATTAATATGAATTCGTATGTTTTGTTACGAGGTGGCAAATTCGTATAAATTCGTGCAAATGACCACCTAACCCCACCCCTAAACCTATCCCTCACAGAAATCAGGCAAAATCATATGAGTGAGGTTGTACGAATTCATACTAAATTAGCCACCTTGTAAAATACATACGAATTGGTCTTGAGATAGCGTTGAAAAATCAGTTTTGTTATATTACTTAGAAAGATTTAGAAAGACTGTACACATTTTGTTACAACCTTTGTCTCAGGGTACAACTGACTCCCATTGGTTTTCGTACAGTTTGCAAAAAAATTGACATTCTGAAAAACACTAAACAGTCAGCGAAAAAAAAAAGGAAAATATTTATTGTAACCAGTCCAACACTAAAATATATAATACATGAGAACTTATAAAAATGTAAGAATCAACGTTTATTTGAAATTGAGATTCAGAAAGGAAAGGAAAATGTCACTGTTTCTTTTGAGTTTCACCGTAAACAACCCCCAAAACATTTCACCCTCACGAGGGTTTAAGAAAAAGACAACAAATAGGCAGAGTAAGTACCAACAGCAATTAATACTACTTGCACTAAGTACAAATAGTGTAAAATATTATTTATACTTGCACCTCTTTTTGCACCTCTGACAAAAGGTGCAATAGAGGATTTAAGTAAGGAGTCAAGTATGTCAATTTAGTGCGTGCTTACATTTAAAAACTGTGCACATGTAGGCAAAACCACATCCTGATTGACCAGCACTTTTGATTCATTTGTGTAGCTTTATCAAATTTCATCAAGCATTCTCTCTATATTCCTTTAGTGCAGGGGTGTCCAAACTCGGTCCTGGACGGCCGGTGTCCTGCAGAGTTTAGCTCCAACTTGCATCAACACACCTGCTTGGAAGTTTCTAGTATGCCTAGTAAGAGCTTGATTAGCTGCTTCAGGTGTGTTTATTGGGGTTGGAGCTAAACTTTGCAGGACACCGGCCCTCCAGGAGCAGGATTGGACACCCCTGCTTTAGTGCTTAATCTAGTACAGGAACAGGGTACTGTCTTCTAGCACTATTGCCTCATCAAACTCATTCAGCTGCATGGGATGTAGAAACCATTTTCACTGCAAACAGACAGAACAAAGTACATAAAGACAAAGGTCATGAAATTAGAGCCTAATTCTACTGAAATCACAAACCCTTCAGTGCGACTTAGTTCAGTGCCAGCATCGTTGTCACCCGCTTGAGGCGATCAATCTGTTAATTTATGCACGATAGGAAGATCTGTTATCTTCTTAAATCATGCAGATGAACTCTTGGCCTTCAGTTCTTTCTTAGCGAGAGACTCCATGCTCGTCATCTGTATCAGCATCTGTTTTGCAAGTATGTTTCTGTCATTATGGCTATCTATAATAAAGACTGACTTCATCTTATCACATATTTATGCTGTTATATATTCAAAATATATCACAAATGTCCAGTACTCCATAAAAAGACAAAGATCAGCCTGCGTATCACTTATCACTGGGCACGTTATCAGTAGTAATATCTATAGATGTCATAATCCACTGTAATTCATTTACAGTACAGCAATTGCTGTATTTTTGTAACACAGGGCCACTGAAGGTGGTTGGCCTTCACATGAGTTCTTGCACGTATTGAACCAATCCACCCACTAACAGTGGCGGCTCGTCGGGGGAGGCAGGGGAGGCACAGCTTCCCCATAATTTTGACGTGAAAATGGTATGAAAATGTGAAAATAAAATTCACAATTCATTTCAGTTCATGTCTCAGAATGTGTATTTTTTGTTTATAATTTCACAGTTGTAATACCGTAACGTAAAAGTGCCGCTTTTCTATCGCGAATGTGCCGAATCTGCTGATGTAATTACAACCGCTAATGATCTCGTGCCTCCGTTGGTAAAAAAAATTTGCCAATCAGCATCGAGTGTTCACTTTCAGCGCTGAGGAGTGTTGTAATAATAATAATAATAATAATAATAATAATAATAATCGGCAGGGAGCCCAGACCAATACAATTAGTGTGCCTCCTCTATTTTAAAACCCACGAGCCGCCACTGCCCGCTAATGTAGGCCAATCTATTCTTAATTCAGATTCAGCAACCTCCTTTCCTTCTTGTTTTAACATGGGAATTCTTTTACACTTCACTTGGCTTAGTTAAGGCTATATTATATATCGTAATAGAGGACATCCCTGCTTCTTTTACTATTATACTTAATCCAAACAACATCCTCTTGAATGAAATCGGATTCATTTTTGTGGCATCCTGCATCTTCAAGTTTGATAAGCATCTGATAAGCAATCGACCAGTGATTTCTGCTGAGATTCTGGAGCGTATTCTTGGTAAGAATTGCTTCTGCTTGTAGGGATTATGTGGCATCATATTGGCAGGAACTGTGCTGAATGCAGTGTGTGGGATCCCCCTTTGAACACACTATAGTTTC